TCCTTTCAGCATTTTTTCCCCAATCAGTATTCAGTGGAATTTTGGTCAAATCTGCAACTGTCTTTGCTGACGTTTTAATACAATCACCTGAAAACTGCTGTCTGAGCCCATCTGTCATCCGCTGTGTCGTTCCTGCCCTTTGAGTAACCATCTACTCCTTCCTTTGTCTTTGTCTGTCTGATGTCTCTGTTCCGTCTCCATCTCCTTTTCTCCTTTTCAGCAAGGTCTTTAAATACGTTAAGAGTCACCCTACAAAAATTCCTTATGGGTCTCACAGTTTAGTGGATGTCAGGTGCAATACGTTTTTTTTTTGTTTTTTTTTTGAGTGTAATGGCTTCTGCTACAATTACGGCAAAGTATCTTGTGGCCTGGTCACATTAATGACCTCAGTTTCACTCAACACATAAAAGTGCAGTTGTCTAAATACTGAGCAGTACTGAAAACTGTCAGAATCAAAATCCGGTTAAGTATGTCGACAATTTGTCTCTGGTTGTCAGTGGCTCCTTCATGCATGAGGTCCAGACACAGTCAACCCGGAACAAAGAAAGAGCACAAGCAAGCTAGAGGACTACAGAGGAGAGGAACCAAGGAACTCCAAGTAGGGAGGAGGAGAAAACCTGGGGGTTTCCCCCTGGGCATGCTAACATTATGGAATAAACAAACAAACCAACAAATAAATGAGGCCGTTTAGCAAAATATAAATGTGTGATCATGGTCAGAGCCGAAGTCCATCAATGAGGCAGTTTTCTGTGCAGGGCCAAGATCACGTTGTATCAAATATTCAGTGTTGTTTTTTTGTGCCGTTAAGCCTTTGTCAAATTGACTGTAGGAACCCCTGTATCTCAAAGAAACTGATTTCCGCCTGATGTCTGCGCTCGAATAAATACCCCAGATACATCTCTGTAACCCACCTACTCAGTGGAGAGTTTTGGAGATCGCGTGGTTGGCTGGGTGATGGCTCTGGGACACCCAAACAGGCCGGGAGGAACCTAGAGCAAGCATGCGGCCACCGGCAGTGTTTACCACCACTAAAACCATGCATCTGTGTGTGGCCCCTGAGGTTTGGGCCCCCTGTTGGCCACAACCGGCATTACACTTAGGGGAGCTGCGATGTGACTTTTGGAGGGGGGCCCCAGAAACGACAAACATGCCCCTGCATGTGGCATTCCAGTGCGGTGATGTCACCGAGCACCTGTAAACGCTGGAGGCTTCCCGGGCCGAGGCAGGCCTCGGCGTTCCGGCCCGGAGGGCTTCTCCTCACGCCGCCCAAACTCCGGAGGACGAGACAGCACATCCTGTCCATTTAGCATCCAGCGGGGTGATTCACCGCAGAGCCCCGCTCAAGTGCCTCTGTGGAGAGAGACCCGAAAGCCACGTGGCTAATTGCGTTACTCAAATGAAATGAAAACTGTTTTCCAGGCGAGCCACGTGAATCACTTTCCAATTTCCCATGCTTGTCTGAATTAATGCCATTTATCTCATTGACTGAGGAAACTGTTCAATTTCACAAATTAAATTTTCGACTTAAACCATTTGCAACTTGATCTAATAATGGTCGTAACAGCGGTTGCTTTCTGCCCTGGTTCACGCAGATGCCTGCAGAGGTCCCGTCTCTATGCTTGGGTTATCGCTAAGCAGGCTGGTGTTGACAAACACGGAATATGTGCAGGATGTTGGCAGCCTCGATTACTCATAATGTCTGGAGAGCTACGATCCAGCAGCCTTTTCCCAGAATGCTTTGCTTTCATTCTGCCCTATCCCACACCGAGTACCTTCATCTTTGTAGGGCATCCGCTAAATATGCATGAAGGGTCATCTCCAAAACTGTTACCCGTCATTAGCGTTACGCTTCATTATAAGAAATCTCATTACAGACTGTTAGTGTCGAGCTGTGAGCCCAATCGGCAAGTAATACAAGAGGCATTTTCTCTAGATACAGTCTGGAATAATTGTCTATTGTACCTTACATGTAGACAAATGGAACTCTGCTGTTTTTCCTCCAGTGTTTAATAATAACCAGGGCTGATATGTTAAAATGAATTGGGGAGTTACTGAAATTATACCTTGGATTGTATCCGTGTGAATTGTTTTATATTTTTAGATGATGGTTTTACAAAATTAAATGAGAAAAAAAGCATTTTTGTCTTAGAAATTAATACTACCATTACTTACTTTTTGAAAATGACTTCTTGCTATTATTCATGATAAACATGAATGAGTCCAAATGTCCTCTTGCTTTTTTTCTTTCTGATCTTTTAGGGTTTCAACATTCAACTTTAGTCTTCCATCCATCCATGATCCATAACCACATGTCTTATTCAGGGTCATGGGTGGTCCAGAGTCTCTCTCTGAGGCTCCGGGCCCAAGGCAGGGAAAGACCCAGGATGGGGAACCAACCAATCACAGGGCACACTCACACACCAGTCACTCACACAGGAAATAGATTAAACTTGTTTTTGTGCATTTAGTCAAACACCAAATGAGACATTGATCTGGTTCAGTTCTATAGAAGTTGTAGAAGCGTAATAGTGCCCTTTCTCTGTGGTTAAGTGAAAGTTTAGAAGGTGAGAGAGTACAGGCAGAAATGCAGTCTGGGCGAATGTTCCCAGTAGGACCAGGGAGCCGATCGGAATCTCGGGTAAGTAATCGCAGAAGTTTTAAAAAAGAGTGGATTGTGAGGGAAACAGATGGCCTATCAGTAGTGAGGCTATTGCTGCTGGGGCTGGAGAAGATGGGGTCAGGTGAATCATCTCTGTGGGCCCTTTAGTCTTTTGAGCTAATAAGCCTCAGCAAAATTGTGTATTTTTACCTTGTAGTAATTAAAAGTGAAAGCATGACCGTAATTATGGCGCTGCGGTCGGGGTGAGTAACTCGGGTGTAGAAGTCATTGCTCAGTTTTATATTCTCACACATTTTCTACTTTTTCAGATATTTCTTGGGGCTGTCCTTTGAGACTATAATTTTAAAAATACCTGATTTTTAAATGTTTTTTTTTCTTCTTGGTTCAGCTGTTTTGCATGCGAGAAATTGCTACCCAAAGGGATGAAAAATGCTGATTTCTCTAGAGAGTGACTTGAGTTGTAGACTTTTGTCCCGATAACCTTCAAGCGTTTTGTTTCACTCCTCGCCACGTGTGCTAATCCCTTGCCGGGTGCTTTCTGGAGAGTCCGTCCCTTTGGGTTGGTGACAACAGTGTCCCTGAATTAGCCACCCACTTCAGTGGAGGCTCACTTTAATTCTGCCAAAGCCTTGGAGATGGAAGGAAATCAGGGATGGCTGATGGAAAATGCTCTCGACTGCTCAGAGAAATCAGCGGAAGTAAGACCTGAATTTGGGTATAAATGGCAACAGGTGCGTCATCTGTAGCAGAGACCGAGATCTTCCAGGTGTCTGCTGAGGATTTCCCATCTTCAAACCCTCCTGAGCCATCATCTCCTTGTCAGATAGCTGCCTCTCTCCCAGGCCCACCTTCACTGTCCATTAGCTAAATGCTTATTGGGATTACTTTGGATGACCATTGCTGCGGATGATCGGGATTAATTGGGCCCAAGGTACCTGTAATGAAGGGCTGACATTTCCTCCAAAGCTTCTTTCCGTTTCGAAGCGGCAGTGACAGAGGAGGTGAACAGGGCTTTCTCCATCCGCGGAATCACCTTCAGAAACCTTCTGCCGACTCAAAGCTTCCCCTCAGTCTCATTAACAAGTCTGGGCCCTGTATGAACCGGGCCTGACTCCTCATTGACCACGGCAAGTCAGTCTGACATGGTACTGCATGCTATATTATACTCAAAAGATCTTTCCCCAACGGGGCTATAGTTACCAGCATGGCTTTCTACTGAAAGATCTCTCTTTAATAACCTATCTGATCTGGAGGCTTTCTCAAAACCTTGAGAATCCAAAAATAATTAAGGCACTGTCTTTGAAGTTGAGTTTGCGGCCTCAGGAATTGATTTTTTTATATTTATTTCAGAAACTACAACCATAGATGAAGGACAGTATTTGCAGTGTATGTTCGTTCTTTGCCGAATTTTAGACTTGGATGAGTAATAGTTTTACCCTTTTTTGTTTTGCTTTATTCTTCGACCTAAACAGCAGACGAATGAGCGGAGTTTAATAAGTGGCTGGGACATGTGAGCAGTCTGCCGTCCGTGTGCTATGGGAAGTCAAGCCGCTTGTTTACGGCCAGTGGGGATGCCTGCAAGCATGCAGTCTGCTGTCATGGCGGGATGACTTGGTGATGCTCAGTGTTGGTTTTATCGGCAGTTCTGCCCCTGGGGCAAGCAGGTATCGCACCGGGTATGTTCTGTGTGGGTGTGGGCAGAGCGGGCAGCCTGTGTCATGCCCATCAGCTTCTGCATGTACCAGTCAGACAGCTCTCTCTCTCTCTCTCTCTCTCTCTCTCTATCTCTACCTCTATCTCTCTCTCTCCCTGTCCCCATCTCTCTCTCTCTCCCCATCTCTCTCTCTCTCTCTCTCTCTCTCTCTCTCTCGTTCTTCCCCGCCTTTGAAGTCTAGGCCGCCTGGCTTAACAAGCATGTTTTCTAGTGCTGCTCCCCTCCTGCTGAAAGCTTGTCTGTTTGTGGGCTCCACTGCAGCTGCTCCTCTGCAAGGCTTCTCACTGAGCAGAAAGAAACAGAGCCCCCCCCCCCATCATCTACACCCTACCTGAAAGGGAACCTGTTACAACCCCCAAGTTCTCCCTGTAATTCCCAGACTCTGGGATCATGCGAATGGGGGCAGGTGGTTCCGCAGGGACAAGTATAACCGCCGATCTCATGTCAGATTCTCCCGCGCTGGGGGTTTGAGCTGCATTTGGGCGCTGAGTGTTAGTCTCACAGGAGGAGGAGGGTGAGGGCAAGACGACAATCTGAACATCACCTCGGTCTGGGGAATTAGGAGTTAAGGGAGTGTCGCAGGCTAGTAAGGCTCTCTATGTGTGTGTGTGTGTGTGTGTGTGTGCGCGTGTGCGTGTGTGTGCGCGTGTGTGTGTACGTTCATAGGCTTTTCAAGTGAGCCCTGGCAGACTATCTGAAGCGGTTATCATGGAAGCATCAAAGACGAGCGCCGCGGTGAGTCATTGGCTGCCTATTAAATCACCGTCTTGTTTTTTTTGTTTGTTTTTTGTTTGTTTTTTTTGGGAAGCCAGCAGAGGGGGGGGGGGGGTCATGCAGAGAGTCTCCGGCCGCATTTCACATGCATGAGTCTCGCTTCAAACGCTGCCTTTTGCTTTGCTTCCTGTCGCCGTCACTCAGGCTGCTGCAGATTCACGGGCTGCTGTCTGCCATCATGCCATCTAATGCCCACTGTGCCCGCTGTCTCTCTCTGTCCATCTCAGTGTGGCCTTCAGTGTTGTCATATATGATCAGTGTGGCCTTCGGTGACCATGATGGACATATTTATTTACATTTTTTTCCACTAACAAGGGTCTTTTTAGCAACAGAGGTGAAATCAGTTGATTGGTATCATCGAGTACTGAATTGGATTCGACAGGCCGCATTTATGGAATTGATGCTACATCTGTTGCAAAATTTAATCTTTTAATAGCCGATGCAACTGACAGGTTTTCTTTTTGTGGCTTCTACTTCTATGACAAAGCAAACAAGGTTTACTGGAGTGTGTGTAGTAGTAATTTTTTTCTGTTCCTCTTTGTGGTTGTGGCTCTTCACAACACTGCAGTGATTGACTGTAGCTGTGGAGCATTTAGCTTGAGTGTGTTGATAAAGAGAACACCTATTCTAGTCTATTAACCCTTTTTCTGGAACATTTAAAAGTGCAGCAGGCCCTGCTCTCTGGGAAATAGCAGCGGTGTGATGGTTTTACTCCTTAACCCCTGGAAGGCTTTGGCTGTTTGCTCAGTGCAGGTTTACCCCGATAGCAAGGAGACTCTAGGGCTACACCGGTTTGTCAGCTGCCTTTTCTAGCTTTTCTTTTTGGTGACTCAAGGTCTTAGTTTTTTTTTTGTTTGTTTGTTTGTTTGTTTGTTTTGCTTTTAACTTTTTACTTAACACTTACCATAGCTATCTCTCTTAGAAGCTGTGTGTGAGGCATCCACATCGTAAAATCCCCCCCGCTTTCGAGCAATAAGTCCACAATCACCATCACATATTCCCATTCCTTGCCCCATCAGCACAAATCTCATCTCAAAGTCTTAGTTTCAGATTACCATACTAAGTAACAGGGATTCAGTGGGGGCGGAGTTTAATTCCCTATCTAACTGTGTCCCCCTCACCCTTGGCAGCAAACTCTGGAGAACAACCTGACCAACCTGGTGAAGAGGAACAGTGAGCTGGAGAACCAGATGGCCAAGCTCATCCAGATCTGCCAACAGGTGGAGGTGAGCCGCTCTCGCTTTCATCACGCTCGTCTTTAGAAGCCCTTCATTCATTCTCTCATTATCTCAGCTCTCTATTCATGTCTCTGTGTCCCCTCTGGAGATGTGGATTTTAAAGATGTTGACGCTTATTAAAAATGCAACTTCTACCCCAGAAATGACTTCTTGAAACAAGGTTAATAAGGAATATTGTCTGTTGCCATGACGAAGATCTTATTCTGTATGTCTTTCCTAATAAACCTTGATACCGTTATTCTCATGCTGCACAGTTCATGCTGTACATGTTCATCCTCGCTTGTGATAAAAAATTTTTGGGTGAATAAATGAAAATAGGAGTTTATATAACAATGCTGTTTATTCTGGGTCTGATTGAAACTCTTCCAGCTAGCGGATCGGAGTCTGTCGCCACGGGTGTGTGTGTCCATGTCCGAGCGCCCGTGCTGGACCCCGTTCCTGGCTTCGGCCCGTTCCTGGAGCACCGCCCTGGAGGTGTCATTAGCGCTGCGCTAACGCGCGGCACGGATCCGGCGCCGGCCTGGCCCACTCCAGCACTCCCCACAACATGTCGGACCCGGGGCCCTGCTCCGCTAATCAGAACATGGCCGAATTGCAAATCGAGTTTGTCCGCCTCGTCCAGCTAATGAAAGATTCATCAGTGTTTGTGTGTTCGCTGTTGACTTCATCGGCACTGGCCTCTTTCACAGGCTGCAGGCACGCGACTCGCTGTTCGGCATTATTGGGACTCGAAAGGCTTCGTTAGGATAAGAGACGTGTGCCTTTGTGACCTCAGGCCATTTTCTGCTTTTGTATTATTAGTGTAATAGCGATAATAGTTATTTTTGCATATTCGGAGTAATGGCTAGAGTATATTTTTCATTCACTTTACAGACATTCTTTATTTTGACTTTTTTGGGAAATCAGGGCCAGACAGTCCTTGGAGCAATTAGGGGCTAAACACCTTGATCAGGGGCCAAACAGTGAAATCATTTTGCCAACCCTGGGATTTGGACTTGCGACCTTGTGGCGCGCTTCCTGACCCGCTGGGTCCCACACTGTCCCTATGAACATGCCAACACACTTTGGGTAGGGTCTTGTCGGTTGAGCTGTGGTTTATTATTTTTTTTGTAGCCCTTGTGTTTTGACTGTCCTCACACGCACATGGAATGCTGAAGCACTTGTGACTGTAGTCTAAACAGCTTTCTGTATGAGAGACGCCCGGAGATAAAAACTTTCCCCGTAACCAAGGACCGCAAGTCATGTCTTATCCGGGAAACGGAGCCCGGCTTGTGCAGACGCTCTCGTCCGAATGATGATTCAACGCTCGGATGAATATTTGCACAATAACTTCAGGCAAGGGAGGGGGATGTTACACTCATCCCCGTTGTTAGAAACATTTGACTTTGAGCAGAAGTTCGGCGTGTCTCTGGGTGCGTTCCTGTTCTGCTTCTTAATGAGCAAACGGCCGGTTTGAACAATACCGCTCTGCGCTCAGTGGCGGTAGATCGCTCCTGCCTCGGCTCCTTTCCCTTCCTGTGTAATTAGCCATAGCATCACAGCAGCCCTTTGCGGATAGCGCTCTGGCTGACCACACTGCCAGCCCATTACCGTTTGCATCCAAATATTCTTGTTTATTATTATTCAGTGGAATGTTTTTTTTTTCTCTCTCTGATCCCAAAAATGTGGGAAATTAAAATTACCTTTTAAATCTTCCCCTTGCTGCCTTATAGAGCTTTTTTTTAAAACTATTATAAAAAGATATTCATGCAAATAATGAAATCCATAATGATAAGTAGTTTTCTAACTACAGATGGATGAAACCAATGAAAATGTCTTTTGTACTTCCCCGCATAGTAAGTCCTGATATTTTATTCATCGTATAAATTATTTATCCCATACTGTTGAGCAAACCTGTTCCAGAAAATTAACAAAAGAAACATTTTTCTGTACTTGCAGCTGTTCTCGTCCACGTCTTTATTTCGTAGACAACGTAAAATATTAACATCTGCGAAATGAAGCAGATGATCTGGTGTCATCTGACGGTGCTTGATAATGCGGGTCAGTGCCTCTGTCATGGGATATCGGTCCCCCTCCCCCAGAAAGGAGGACAGCTCTTTGTCCCATTGGCTGTGGTCCAGAATGGTCTTGTGTTTACTGTCTTATATGGGAACCAATAGCAGCGATTCCTTATCCGACTGTGACACCATCGTAATTTAGTGTCCTGCCTACCATATTACACTGGGGAACATCTGCTTGGCTTTTTAAAATGGTTAATATTAATGCTATACTTGATCTCTCCCCGCAGGTCTACAACTTTTCATACATTTTGCATTACGGCTTCATGTCTATGGTATTAAAGCTGGGTACTTTATGGATATCAATAGGCTGTGTCTGTGTGTGTGTGTGCGCGTGCGTGTGCGTGTGCGTGCGTGTGTGCGTGTGCGTGTGTTCTCCCCCATTGTTTTGGAGAGAAACCCTCAGGTTGATTTAACAGAAACATTATGGAGAGTGTTTCGACATCAGCTACACCAGTTTCCCTGAAGCTATAACACTTACAGAAGATTTTTGCGTTCAATTAAACAGTTTATGATTTTACTGAATTTTATATCATAACACTTTTGTCTTCGTGTTTGAACTTTAGAATGCTGAGGTCAGTGGGAGTATTAAATGTGTTCCCAGCTATTTTAGGAGAACATAATCCCAGACTCCTTCGCTGGCACCGTCCAGAGCGGTTCGGCACATCCGATTGGCCACGTGAGCCCAATGTGTGCTGATGGCACCTTACGGAGAGGTCTTCCCCCCCGACACATGGCCGGGGCACGACGCCGGCTCACGAAAGTCATTTGCTCACGGCGGGAACCGGGAATGCGAGCGATTCAGCTCGTGACAGCCAGCTAAGCATCTTCCTCAAGCTGTCAAACTCGAGACAGGCCTCACTTTATTAACCCCTGTGGCAAACACGAGGCGTCACCATGGCAATGGACTCGCGCATCGCAGTCGCTTTCATTGGCTGCTGTGTTTGAGTACACACCTGCCAACTCAGCACTGTACACTGTTTTCCTTGTGTATATATAGTTACCATTTGATGATTTTCCAAAATGTCAGCCTGTTAAGTAAATGATTAATGGATTTATTTCTGGTCCTTTTTATTTTGTAAGTCTTTTATTCCAGTTTCTACATCCAGAGAATTCACGATTTAGAGAGATTTATCTCAAACAAAACAGAAATTAACCTCTCAGCGAATTTCTGTGACACACACAGATTTTTTTTTCTTTTTTGTGCAGTATTTCATTTACAAAGCTCATTAGTAAAACATAGCATACTCAAACGCCCTTAGACCGGTCGTAATTTGTGAAGATTAGTGTTACAGGAAGCAGTCAGGGCTAAAAGTGATATTGCTACTTCAGAGACAGCAGCCCAAAAGTCAAGGAAATAAACCATTTGGCAGAGTTATGGCCCATGAGCTGGGTCATTGTAATTACACTGTAAATCTGTACCCGATGACCAAAGCTCATTTTCTAGCATCAGCAAGGCTTCTGCTCTTCTCTTGGTGCATGTTTTAGAATATGTATTTTATGTTGCATATATGATACATACTAATTGTTTTGCTACTTTTTTTGTTGCATTATGACATCATCGTATGATGTATTACATTTTTCATTATTTCAGTTTGTCCCCGAGTTGTATTAGGACTTTAACTCTCCTAGTAGGCCACTTGATCTTCTCAGTTTTCACTAGGGATTTTCCACCACCAAACCAGCCCTGGTTCGCAGTCAAAGTTTAATAAGCAAACAGGCCCGGGAGATCGCTCTTTCGTGGAGCAGAGGGGGGTGATCCATCTCTCCCAATCGTACAATAAAACATTAATACACCCGGCAATCCGCCTCGTCCGAGACAAACTGCCGAGTGACTGCACCATATGTTTTAGGTGTCACTATGAATCACGTCTACGGGGACAGGAGGCAGCATGGGAAGCTTTATCCGTGGTGACGTGTGGCTCCGAATGGAAAGAGGCATGGCTCTGTACAGCTGTGAGACCCGTAAGGCAGTGTCCACCAACCCGGTCTGTCCACCAACCCGGTCCGGTGTGTGGACTGTCTGACATGAAGCTGGGAGGGAGCAAAAATATGGACTGTCTCGGGTCCCCAAGGACTGGGTTGGGAAACCGTGCTAAGCAGATGCCCAGTGTCATCAGCGGGCGGTCAGGTGACTGTTGTCTAGCAAGGATGGATACTATCCATCTGAAGCTGTCAGAATCGCTTTGTCCCAATGATCACATTTTACTGCATCCAACGCACCATCTATACCATAGCAACTCCAATATGCTGGCCAGTGTTATTTGTCTCTGCCGCTACATTAATCGCTCCTGCATTAATAAAGTGGCAAGAGCGAAATGAGTCAGTGCGCGAAATATTCAACTTGCATTGGAAGAAGTCTGGATATTGGGCCAAGAGCACTGATGTCAAACGGGCAAATGGGCAATAACGTTCTGCAATGTGTATTTTATTATTCTCTTGGATCAGTCCTGATCGATCAACATTTTTTTTTTTTTTTTGTGCACATCTATCTCAGCCAAGGATGGCACAGGCATCAGTGGAGGGAACAGGAGGTGGCAAGGCGCAGAGCTGTGTGTTTCTTTGTTTTCATATGTTTTTCTGCGTGTGGAAAATATCTCTTCTAGTAGAGAAAACCCAATAAAGACACACAGCAAAATGTGTCCATGTTGCCTAAAAGACAAATCGTTCTTTCCATCTTTTCTCGATCGAGGGATTTTAGTTTTCCATTTACAAAGCCGTATGCAAAATGTTACGGGAACAAATATTTGAAATGACCAACCAGTTGGATTGCATCTTTTTGATTGTGCGTGCATGATGCCCGGTGGGAAATGAGGCGGTAACGGGCCTGTCTGTCCGCAGGTGAACACCGCCATGCACGAAGCCAAGCTGGTGGAGGAGTGTGATGAGCTGGTGGAGATCATCCGGCAGAGGAAGCAGGTCATCGCCGTCAAGATCAAGGAGTCCAAGGTAGGGTTGGCCAGCGCTGCAAATTCGCGGGACTCGCCTGTCACAAAGACGCCTGGGAGTCACAATTGTGTAAATAAGAGGCTCCTTTGTCTAGAATGTCTCGAGCTGAGGGATGACACGTGGGATAGCTGTTAATCCTGGACGCGCTCGGTGCCTGCCACTCCGGCTGCGATGACGGGGGGGAGGGAACGTTGTCAGCGTCTCTCGCTGCGTTCTGTCAGCCAGCGATAAAAGCGGCTGATGTTTAGCCTGCCGCCGTAAGCGTCGGCGTGGTGAGTTCGCGCATCACAGTGGCGTGGGAAGATTCGCAGCTCGGGTAAGCTTGGCCGGGTCCTCACGCCTGTCGTTTGTTCGCTGGACCTGCTGTTGGCCCCCTGGAGGTGCGGGGCGGCCCGTGCCCACTCCCCCCTCCTTTGCACGTATGGACAGATCATTTGGAGCAGGAGCCAGGGGGGGGGAGGTTCATTCTTCCCTTTATAAATAGTCCTTTGCCTTTATATTATTAAGTTGCGTCTCCACCAATATCAAACTCTCTCCAACTCCATCAAGTTGGAGGATGCCAGGAGGGTGAGGGGGGGGCTGCTCTGCGGCAGAACCGATGCGATTATGCATCCAAGGGCCCCGGGAAGCTCGGCTCCGACGCGCTGTGAAATCAGCCCCGTCCACGTGGCCCAACTTCACAAGCTTCCCAGCCCCCACCGTCTGCCGGGACCGTCCCCGTCATCGATAATCTTCTTCACCATAAACAGGGGAGGGCAGCTGCAGTCGGGCGGTGGAGCACTGAGACCCTCACCCCCCCCCCTTCATGTGAAGGAGTCTGCATGCATCTTCCAGCCCAGAACCCGTGGACCTACCTTACAGGACGCGGAGCAGCTGGCTATTGAACCGACTCCCGGTTGCTCACTCCTTCCCTCCTTCCCTCCCTCACTCCTTCCCTCTAATCCGTGGCACAGAAGACACAGATTTCCGTGTCAGCTTTAACTTCGCCAGATGATGTGCGAGGCGACAACTTCCAAACATTTTAAAGGAGCAAAACAGTCCCATTAGAAATTCTGTAATCCATCAGTATTAATGCGGCTTATGTCATCTGAGCTCACCAAGAGAGCGAAGGAGAGAAACCGGGCGGGTCTGCCGGATTCTTTCTTGCCAGATTGCATATTTTTAGATACGTTCATGTCAGAAGAGCTGTTTAAAATAAAATGAAGAAAGTTTCTGTAACAGTGGTTTAATTTCTTATGGACTTCCAGCATTAGATAAATCCAAAAGCTGTCCAAAACTGCAGTCCAAGAAAATGAACCTAGGACCAGGCAGTTGCTCGTGATGTGGTCAGTGGAATGACCGGTCATATTGGGATAGTGGCACTGGTTGTGTGCTGGGATCACTGGTTTGATTGGCTCTACCAAACCACCCAAGGCTGCCAGACTGATCCTTACTGAGCTCAGACAATTTTGAAGTCACAGGTGTGAAATGAATGACCCAAGAGAGAACTCAGAATCTGCAGTTACAGTCTCTTGTAACTGCAGTATGTTTAACAGTAACCGCATGTACTATCAGAATATCTGCAGTCTTCTCATAGCTCTAATCACATCTGATAATTTGTCAATATATGTGGCCAAAAATACTAATAATGAATTGAACTGGTGAAATATGCCTCTTCAAGGCTGACTGGGACGTTCCCAATGTCCTATTAAGGTCAGATGTTCTGTGTAGCAATGTTTGACTGATCTGAACTATTAACCAAATGTTTTGTTTTCAGTTAAATTGCATTTTTATGTTTCTTCATACTTTGTTTGTAATCAGCTGGAATGAATATATCTGCAAAATGCGTCGGTTTTGGTATGAGTAGCGTGAGACATCTCTGATTTTCTTTAGAAAATAAAATGGATATAACTAGATTAGCTATCAACCCTTTAATTTAGTCCCTAAAGAAAATCGTCTTTACAAATCCCCGTGTCATCTTCGGTTTATGGATTGCAGATGATTAATCAACAGGACCATAAATTCCTAAGACAAGTCTGAAACTGCAACATAACATGGAAAATGTACTTAAGTGATTCTTCACTAATGCTTGAGTAGAACATGTAAGGCAGATAGTTTGGCTGCATGCTTCTTTATTCCCCTGAGATTTGGTCTGAGATTAATTCATGTTGCTGCTTTTCATTGCTGTCTTAAGATCAGCGTTGGGAAGTTTGCACTTCCATTATCGACATGAAAACAGCTCGCAGGAGGTCAGCTGAAAAGAATATCAGATCAGATTGTCCTCTGAATTGAGATGCGTCGTGCGTATATGCTACAAATGTAATATAGCTCTAAAGAGAATTTTGAGAAAATGGCACTTTTTCAAGTTTGTTGCTCTTTGATTAAAATCTGGGAGGGCTGTATTTGGAGCTGAACCCCTCCCCCACCCCAAAACCACATGCATCTAGTGTCATGGTTTTACTGCTGGTCTGTATCCTGACGCCCCCTTCTGCTTGTGCTAATGATTGCCAGCCTTCCCCCACCATCCAGACCTTGGGCTCCTCCATCCTCTTCCAGATCTCCTACCTCCCCTTGAATCCTGCTCCGCTGTCTGCTTCTAGGTGATGAAACTGCGCAAGCTGGCACAGCAGATCGCCAACTGCCGGCAAAGCCTGGAGCGCTCCAGCGCCCTGATAACACAGGCCGAGCACAGCCTGAAGGAGAACGACCACGCCCGCTTCCTGCAGACCGCCAGGAGCGTCGCCGAGAGGTCAGCGCGCGTCACCCCTGCCGTCTGTGTTCCTCTGCGTCCGAATCCTGTGGAGCCAAAGAGAAATGGAACCGATGTCCTGGCTCGAGCTTTGCTGAAGCTAAGCTGAAGCTGGACTGCTTAGATTTTGGAGAGAGTGAATGCCAGACCCAGGCTTCCTTTGTCCATCCGCTTCTACAATCCTCACTTTGTGGCCTCTTTTAGGGTCGCGATGGCAACGGCATCTTCCCAGGTCTTGATCCCAGACGTCAACCTCAATGACGCCTTCGACACTTTTGCTCTGGATTTCTCCAGGGAGAAGAAGATTCTGGAGGGCCTGGATTACTTAACAGGTGAGGGTGTCTGCATGACTTTTTAACGTGAGATTTAAGATACAATTTGCAATTTAATGAACACAGATATTGATTAGGCAGGGAGTATTTGTAGTAATGTAATTTATTTTAAAGAGCATGCGTGTATTACCTTGGGAAATTTGCTTAGATGCTGACAGAGGCATTTGCTTTCCTGCAAAAAAAAATGCAAATTTATTCAAAGGAAGGTGTCTGTCTCATGAATTAATTTGAAGCAAACCTCTGCCCACTTGCTGTCCAGCCTTGACTAATTATCTCTCTCCCCCCACAATCCATCACGGAGCAGCTCCGAACCCCCCTGCCATACGGGACGAGCTCTGCACAGCCTCTCACGACACCATCACTGTACACTGGTCTTCCGAGGATGAGTTCAGCGTCATCTCCTACGAGCTGCAATACACCATCTACACGGGCCAGGCCAACTTCATCAGTGAGTGACTCTCGCTGAGGATTCTGGGAGAGGGATGCTGCACACACTGTAATGCAGGCAAACAGTTTGCATGCACGCAGCCACTATCTATACAGTAGCTGCTGTGGAAGCTGTAAGTTAGTATCGTAAAGGAATCCCTTCGATTACGTATCCGCATACATGGAAACCATTTGCAGATCATGTTTGTGGACTTTTGGGAAGTACTTTCAGAGGCCACATAGACTGAGTGCACCTAGACTTTGTGGAAACCTGAAACCAGCACAACCTCAGCGTGTCATTGAAAGGGGAACCAGGCGAAGCACTTAAACTCGATGTTCAACCGGATGGTGTCGGTTACGCCTGTTATTTAGCTACCTTTGCAGTTGGGGTCAATGTACCTTTATTTCTGTCAAACAATGGGCAGCTATAAAAGAAGCAGTGATGAACTTTGCAGTACTATTGTGAGTCACTGTGAATGTGAAGCCAATGATAATAGCAAGCTTATGTTTGTGAAAGGCTTGTCCATACCATTCAGTAATATCTAGAATACTAATACTGTTAGCGTTTTGTTCTATTCTGGGGAGGGGGGCACAACTATAGTTGTCTTTCTGTTAGTACAAGGTCACAAAATAGTACCATGGCATTTTAGACTTCCTTCTAAATCGCTCCAGCGAACCAACACTGAAAGTTTAGAGTATTAGCCTTTCATATTTCATATTTTATGCATCTCTTTATCAGAACGTGTCAGAATGGTTGGTATGTCCGTCCTGGACTTGGAGTTGGGGGGCTGTGTTTTTCTGGGGAGAAAAAAAATTAGCTCTCCTGGCAGGACAATGGCGGATTAGAGTTTCTCCTGGATGAAAAGCGATCCCCCCCCCCCAATTCCTCACTGGCTTTCTCAGTGCAGCACCACCAGGTCCGATATCGCGCTGGCAGAGCCGCTGCGGGGCCGACGTAGCCGGGGGCCCCGGCGCATAGCAGTAATGGCATGTCGGGCCCTCAAGGGAGGTGAAGCAGCGCAGGAGAGAGACACATTTATCCCCACTGCTGAGTTTCTGCTATTGCTCTTTGGACAGAATCACTTAAACGCTTCTCACTAGTAAGTTATCTGCGGCATATCTTTCCTCTCCCAGGGGTGCGGGGGGGGGGGGGCATGTATACCAGTTTCTTTGCATCCACAAGCCCACAGAGCCGAGTTCTTCTTTCAGGAGAAAAGGCAGCTGAATGCAGCGGATGCGAAAAATACCTGTTTGGAAGCAGCATGACATCATCAGAGCCTGGGCTGGATATGCGTCCCAGCAAGACCTACAAATGCATTCTCTGACTTTGAAAGTTCCTACTGTTTTGTGAAAACGATTGATCTTGGATATTAAAAGTCGTCTGTTTTAAAAGCGCCCTGCGAATGTGTAGTCAGTGACTCGTATAGCTCAATAAAATTCTGATACGGGTTTTGGCCCATGCCGACTTTTGGATCAAATGTGTCCAATTAAACAGTTGGCTTGCACAGACACGACCATCCTCTGGGGCTAATTAAAAGAACAGGAGAGCGCCATGAGCAATCCTGACACCTGGAGGCGCCAGAGAGCTCTGCTTTCTGCTGCATTTTTCAGGACGATTTTCGGTAGAGTCAAAGTGGCAGCCGCTCTCCCTTGACCCAAGCATCTGTCCACACGGCAGATGCTGCTTATTTCTGTGCCCAGGAGAACATTAGGGTTGCTTTTGGGAACTTTGAGTTGAATCTCACCATGAAAATGTGCCGCTTGATTCAACAAGCTCATGGCCTTTGACATGATTTCTTTGTGCACCCCTGTAATCCATCTTTTGATGATCCTACGCACTCTTGCGGTTTGGTTAATTTCTCTTAATTCCTCGCATTTTATTTCACCTCTCGTATTGTCCTTCTTTAAATATTCAAGCTCTCCCGTCCTCTTTGAATATACAGTTTAAAAAAAAGGCTAAGCCTTCTTAATCGTGATCGATATTACATTCAGTGATTAGACAATTGATCCTGTGTACCCACAATGCCCATTATCGACGTGGTCGGGTTCGCTGTCGTGTCAGTGGTGTAGGCGAGCTCTGACGGGCTCTCTCGCGCCTCTCAGGATCCTTTGCCGCTCCCTCTTCCCCATTATCTCACTCAGACGTTGATCCCAGAGGCACCAGGGGCATCTCAACCATCCAATCACCTTCCAGCCGTAAACAAGTAGGAATAAAACAGTATCTATGACCATGCTGTTATCCAGCACAGAGCCATGCCGTCCCAATACCTGTTAAACCATTAGTGGTCTGATGGGTTACTGAATATCTTTCTGTAAAAAAAACAAAACAGTTTCCCTTCATGGTTCTGGGTTGTCGCCTCTGTAAAATTTGAATACATTCCCCTACAATTCCTCCAAAGCGCACAGCCACAGTTTATCTTCAATTTGAAATTAGTTTTAATATTTAAAATGCACTCGAGGTTCCCTTTCTGCCTTGCGATATATACCCCCCCGCCGCTATTTATATTCACGGGCAGGCACTCAGATTTTTACTTGTACATGTTGCTGTCTTGCTACTCAATAATTCAGTAACTGTTGATGCCGAAAGAGACATTAAAGTCCTTTATACATCTTTTCTGGTTTCTTTGTTGTTGTGTATTTTTTATTTTTCTTTGCCAGCAAAAGTAACAACGTGGCCGAAGTTGGTCACTGCCTGAATCGTGTCTGAATACTGTCATGGTTGGTGTTTCATTAATGGATGAAGTGTCCTTGAGGTGTGGCTTGGAGACCGGACCGGCCTAAGTACTGCTGACACATTTTATTTTAAACCTTAACCTGGTTTCCATTCCCGCTGCCATTAATATCTCTTACTGCTCCAGCGGTGAGGATGACTGTCACCCCATACAGAGGTAGTCCATCCCACAATTTTGTGCAAATCCTTCATGGTTCAGCCAGCAAGCATATTTGGGGTTATGCTCCTCATCAGGCCTGTTGCCATTGGAGACACTATAAGTTTTAGAAGCGTAGAAGCATATTTACCGAGGTCTTCAGGCACTCGCTGGTTTTGTACACAACCCAGGCAGGATTCAGTCTGCTACGCACGACTCTGTGATTACCACATTATATAATATCTGCTGCTGTAAGCTCTGCCTATCCCGTTATAGAACTCCTGATACCCACAGCTGCTGTACAAGGAGCCGTGGTCCCTTGAGAGCCGGAGATTCCAACAGACGCCAGTTTTGAAATTTTTATCTCGACGGGTTGTTCCAAGTTATCAGATGAACTTGCCCACGGCAGTGACTGTGCTCCACGTCGGATGACTCTGCCTCTGGTTTTCACCTTCCTGCGAAAGAGGAAGATAACAGAGGAAGCCAGAGCAGCTCCTGTCTCACCCTGACTTCTGTCCATCCGTCCCCAGGTCTGTATAACTCGGTGGACAGCTGGATGATCGTGCCCAACATCAAGCAGAACCACTACACGGTGCACGGGCTGCAGAGCGGAACCCGCTACGTCTTCTTCGTCAAGGCCATCAACCAAGCGGGCAGCCGCAACAGCGAGCCGGCACGGCTCAAGACCAACAGTGAGTGGTCCCTTCGTCGAACCCGCCGTCTGGTGTAGCATGTAGGCCGGACAGATGTAGGTTTCACTCCTGTAGCTCAACTGGTAAGGAATTGCGCTAACTCAAAGGTTATTGGTTTGAGTCCCAGGAAGCAGTTATAAATTGTAACCCCTATGCTGTAGGTCGCTTTGGAAGAAAGAATCAAATAGATGAATAAAGCTAAGCGTGCTTCCCAGGCTTGGTAGGCGGGTGGTGTTTGGTGGACACCCCCTAAAAGGCAGCAGTATCCGGTCCTTTAAACTCGAGGCCTGTTGCCTGGTGCTCTTTTTTAGCAGACAATGGGAGGTAAAGCGGATTACTGGGTGTAGGGGTGAAACCCGACTAGCTGGATCCAGTGGAGAGCAGCCACACACTGGCAAATCTGCGTTATGGAACCGGCCAGGGGTGAAAGCCTTACGCCATCTCCTCGCTGCCCCGCTGCCCTGACACCCGCTTCTCTCACCGTCGGGGTGTCTGCAGTCCCGCTTCAATGGGTTCACTCCCCTTTAGAAGGTTCAGAAGTCCTTGCCCTGCAGATCTTCAGTTCAATAGCTTCTCTTTTAGCAACAGCCATTCCTGTTTCCTTAGTTTGCCAGCTGCAGATTGAAAGTCTTGCTATAATTCTGAATTTTCTGTATAAAATAGTACTTTTGTATGTGCTTAAAGAAAACCTGATCACCTAATATACATTATATAAAACATTAATTATCCTAAATGTCAAATATTTATGAGTATACAGTAGTGAAAATGGCAGCAAATATTCATAATTTATGTAGAAATAGGTGGTCCAAAGCATGCCACATGTTATGCAATATTTGGAGAGATTTTCATGATCTACCAAAATATGCACTTTTTCCCCATGCTGTTATGCAAATCTACGTATTAACAATGACAAAATTAGTTTTATGAAGGTGGCTGTTACAGAAACACAGAAACTTGTAAGAGTGTTTATTTACAACTGACAACAAAGGTGTTTTAATGATTCTTTTATAGTCGCCCTTGTTTGTTTGTTCCAGATTTGACAAAAATGAGTTTTGATCCACTAACTTGGTTAGATTCTGAATTTATGCAGGTGGCATACTGCTTGCTTATGTTGAAATAACATTGCACAGTTCATCCTTTGAAGAAAATATCCAGAACCATAAATTTGTTGCTTGATGATGAGGCTTCATAGGTACTCTGTGGGATTCAGCTTGGGTGAAGATGCTGGCTGCTCTATCATGGTCATGTTTGAAGCCCAATTTCATTAAGTACTCTTCTGTTTTCTTGGCAGCATGTGGATGGAGCATTGTTATGCATAAATATCATGTTTTATTTTAATGCCAAAGGATTACTTGTCCATCATGGCACAAAGTTGCTTTTCAGAAATTTAATATAAGCATTTGCACTCAAATTCACACCTGCTGGATTTTGCCAATGACCAATCAGCTGGACACGAGTTATTCCAGCCCAGAACATCACATCACCACCTCCGTCTCAGAGGATGAGGTCTGTCTGTCAAGTCAGTCCGTGAACAATACAACTTCGAAATATTTCTGGGCCCATTCTACATACTTTACTCTTTAACTGTAGGTCAAATCAGACTTAGAGATTTTCCAGGGTGACAGAGTAGCAGCATAAGCCTTGTTAAATCTCTCTTTGCTATTGGCTAAAGGCTTTTTTGTTAGAACTTGCTTAATGAGGAAGAATTTACCATGCAAAACAACCATCATTTTCCCCTTATCGTGCCATTATCTATTTGCATTTTATTCTGCTAGATGTTTCTTTATAGCCCAGTGGTCTCTGCCATTCATCTTAGCAATTTCAAGTGTTGATTTTTCCATTGCTCATGTTCTTAATTACTGTTTTCTGCATCACGTGAACAGTCATTTTTAAGAAATTTACACACCCTGCTTTAATATCATAGCACAACACGATTGTGGGGAAAAAATACATATGGCTGTAACACTGAGATGATTGTAACATTAAATGTTTCCTTTGCAAAGAAAATGTGGACGTGCCATATCACAACTGTGCAAATAAGGCTTCATCCCCTCTAAGTGCACTGATTTTGAACAAGATCCACAGCTCCAGTTTGAAGATATTGCACAAGTCTTTATTATGGATTAGTTTTTCACATTTTGACCTTGTTTTCCTTATGAAAGACCCGTTGATCATACCCAAAGTGTGGTTAAACATGTTAGCTGTCATAATCAGCGTTTCCTCTACTTCAAGCTGAGTTTTGAAAGGTAGCAGCATGTAGCGATTTTGAGAATTTCAGACAAACATGCAAGGTGGTCAGTGGGAGACCGCAGTAACACGGTGTTGCAATTGTACTCGCTTTGAAAACACATCAGACACAACCTAGTCCAGAAAAATTACTTCGCTCTTGTATTCAGTAATTATTTTTACATTGTGTATTTTAACAAAAATGCACCTTGTCTGTAAACACTGATTGTAAACCATATGAGCAATACACAGAGATTCTTCACTTTGGTTTTAATACTAGACAGATGGAAGAAACATTAAGTAGGAAAAATTGATGTTTTACATCTATGATTTCTGTGTGAGAAGGCAAAGTGTTACAAATGTATTCAGTCTACTCAGGTGCAGCAATCAATGAAGTTCTCACAGATGACGCCAATAACTGTCATCAACATCCTGGCAAAGTAAGACTTAATCATGAACATGCATCATGAACTCACAAACCCTTTTGCATAATCGTGTGGCACCTAGTGTAGATGATAAACCATTTTGTATGTAATGCGGAAGCATGTATCCTTCAAAGAGATCCTTCAGCTAATAGCAGAGTTGCAGTGTGGCACAAATAGAATCCAGTGTCTCACGGTCACTTTGGGGCACGGATGGAGCTGGAGTGCGGGGCTTCTGTTTCAGAGCATTGAGGAGGCAGGTGAAGATCTGACCTCTTCTTGGGACCTGGGCTCTCATGATCCCCACTCTGACCCATGGGGGCAGCTACAACATATCACCCCCCCCCCCCCACCTGCAGTGACATGCCATTTGTCCGTTTGTCAGTCCCCAAGGTATAGGTGACTTTTGCTCCAATTCTCAGCTATGGAGCCCTAGAGCAGTGCAGCTGTCATTGAGTTCTCTGATTACTCCAGCATGAAATCACACGATTCTGTTTCAGAGAGGGAGAGATAAAGACACAGGAATTAATTTCATTTTTGATGGCCCATATGGCATATTTGCCTACTGCTCTTCGATTCTGTCAGTAAATTGACCGTGATACCTGGTCAGACCCGGGACATATGGCCTGCAATTGCAGAACCCGTCAGATGATGGATTTGGTGTGGTGAAGGGTTATTAGATTAAGATGAATTAATCATGATGGAGGAAGGCAAGGAAGAGGTGGCTGGCCACAGAAGGGGATATTGAACCTCTTTACCCTCATCACACCCAGCACGACAGTATATTTAAGCGCAGTGGGGGAGGGAGACCAATTGGTGGCTTAATTGTATGTAATTTTAAACTTTCCCTCTTGTATGTTCCTCTGGGAATTCGCTGGTCCATAGTGCACCAGCTGGCACAAAACCATGTGACGCACATGCATTTAGTGTGCAGTACCAGTTAAAAGTCTGAACACACCTGCTTTTGATGCATTTGTTTCTATTTCAGCTGTTATTCACCTTTTAATTTTCTCAAATTTTTACCTCTTCAAAATAGCCCCCTTTTGCTTCAATGGCAGCATTGCAGACTCTTGGCATTCTTTCAACCAGCTTTCTGATGTAGCCACCTGGAATGCTCCTCCAACAGTCCTGTGAACTTTCCTCAAGTCCTGGGCACAAGTTGGCTACCTTGCTCTTACTCTTTGATCCAACTCATCCCAAAGCAGCTCTGTAGGGTTTAGGTGGGGGGGGGGGTTGTGGGGGGCAGGTCATCTGTCATAGCACTCCATCTCTTTCCTTATTCACAAGGTAATGCTAAGTAGCTACATAACCTCGAGGTTCGCTTATGCTCATTATCTTGTTAAAAAACAAATGATTCTCATCAGGTGTGTACAGACCTTTGACTGGTGCTATACACTTGCACAGAGGCTCACGTTTGATCAGTGGCTGAACTGGCACTGCACTGACTGCAGCCAGTGGGATTGTCACGCCGTAGTCCGCGACCTTCAGGGGAGACACTCGTACAAAAACGTGCCATCGAGAGAGTGTCCCTAACCCCCACCAGGTAATCAGGCAGAAACAAGCCCCAGAGCTCCTGCTGGGGAACTTAGGATGAACGGCCTCGTGGGAGATTATCTACAGCGTGTAATTTTCTGCTTAATAACAAAAGTGTATGTATATGAGCAGAATAAATATAATGTATTGATTAACGGAATATTACATGTACGCTGTTAAGAGGGAAACTCCTTCACTCCATGACTGTTGGGTGAGCTGGAAAGATAATGGGCAGGGTTAACTGAAAGATAAGTTTAAGGGTATCCTCAGTCCGAGCGTTTTTACTCATTCATTCATTGAGTGGCAACTCAATATTTTTCAGTCAAGATGGCTTCTATGTCATGTCAAGTGTGTGGGAATTTTTGCATGTGATTGGTCTGTTCATGTAGGGATGAGGATGTGTTTTGAATGCTCTTGGCTGGTTTTAGTTTAAGCGTCTGTATGCTTGGGGGCACTGGGAGAGCATAGTGGACTGACTGTGTCTTGAGAGAGAGAGCCAGTCTGTGCATTCTAATACTCAATAAAGAGAGCAAAAGTCCAGTTGGTTTTCTTAACATTTTTGGCTAGTGGGTGCGAGCTTCTTGGCCGGTCCCTGAACTTTGCTTGAGACCCCGTCGTTGCATTGACATTTTCCTGCTGGGCTGTGATAGAGAGCATGTTGTCAGGAGCACGCGGGTGTTGAACCTGCTGACCACAAAACCAAGACGAGAGTGCTCAGTGATTCAAGCAGCATCCACCTGCCGTCTCGAGTTCGCCACAAAACTTCAGAACCGTGACAAAGCTGCCCAAAGCCTGTACTCACATTAACACTGATGTTTAGCCGTGACTTCCTGCCAGCTCTGACATTAGTCATGTAGTCTCATTTAAACTCGCAAATTCTGAGACTGACTGGGAATTATAGTATCCGTGCTACCAGAAAGAAATTGCTTCTTTCATAACACAAGGAAGTGAGGTACAAGGGTGTTTTGGAACAGTGCCAAGGGGCTGGTGTTTGGGGGGGGGGGCGTTGAGTTCGCCCTCCGTAAATTTTGCATGATTGTTGGAACGGAGCGCTTAGAACCTCAAATGAGGGGCACGTTCCCGCTGCATGTGCCTGTTTTGGAATCAAATTCAAGAATTTCATCAACTTGCAGTGAACTTAAATTAGGTTTTGCTATAAATATCTTTACCACCTGTCAGTAAATGTGCTAAGGGGTTTAAAATGGTCACCTTGAACCTGGCCAGGGTATTTTCTTGGTGAATTTATTATTATTATTTTTTTAATAGATTCCCCGTAATCATTTTCTGGGGGCACTGAAGTTCTCAGGTACTTATGTCCCATAAGCGTGATGGCATAATGGCTGCAGACAGGGCATGGCACCCTCCCACCACCCATCCAGCTGACTGCCCCGGACGTGGGCAGCTTCCCGGCCGGCCCTGATAGCCGTGTGCCCTCCGCAGGGTCCCAGGAAGCCAGGACCGCACCGCGGAGTGTGGAGGAGGCTGCGCTCACAGCGATAAGCAGTTCAAAGCACTGAGCGTATTATTGTAATTGACTTCCTGCAGCACGCCGCCAGAGCCTCTCATGTCCCCACGCAGTCACACGCTTTTCAACGCAGATTATTTGATGGGGGGGGGGGGGGGGCTGCTGTATTGTTGCTCGGTAAGCCCAGAATGGAGATTGGGAGAGGCTGAGTTTAATGTCAGGTCTACAGGGAAGGCCTTCTCCTCAGAGCAGACAGTCCTTCATGGCGATTTTTTAGCTCATGCTGTCGCTGTCCTCGGCCTCTTTTTCCCTCTGGGGGGGGGGGACAGAGCAGAGGAGAGGAGGCGGCCATGCGGGATGTGGGGGAGCTCGATGTGAGAGATCACCCCATACACAGCCGGCCCAAGCTGCCTCAGCTTGCGTGTTTAGCTGGGGGAGGGGGGCTCCACACACTGAATAGTGCTGACCTTGCCCGCTCCCCCCCGCCACAGGTCAGCCGTTCAAGCTGGATCCAAAGACGGCCCACAAGAAGCTACGCCTCTCCAACGACTGCCTGACTATGGAGAAGGATGAGAGCTCCCTGAAGAAGAGCCACACGCCGGAGCGCTTCAGTGGCACGGGTTCCTACGGCGCCGCCGGCAACGTCTTCATTGACAGCGGCTGCCACTACTGGGAGGTGCTGGTGGGGGCGTCTACCTGGTGAGTGCGGGCAGTGGGCAGTGGGCAGTGGGCAGTGGGCAGACACTCTGCAGCAGCGGTGCACGACCTTATTTACAGTGAGAGCTGCTTTCACAAGGAAAATCATCTGGGCAGCTGCCAAGTCATATATTTTGCTTACTGGGGGGTAGGGGGCACTCGGTATGTTTGCCCAACCAATGGGAGGCGGCTCTTCAGATGGGGGTTCTCTCCTGATATATATTGACAACAGGGGTTCCTCGCCTTTGTGGATTTTGGTTGGGGGGAGTTGTGATTGCGCTCGACCTACAAAAGTCTAAAATATCGACCCGTCGAACATTTGGCGACCGCTGCGACACTCGCACGTCTGTCCTGTTTCTGTGTCACGGCGCTAATGCAGCTTTACTCTACTGGCTGCTTCCTGTTCCTCAGTTTGGGAAGATTAATACAGGAAGCCATGCTGTATGAGAGTAGGCACATTCTGTGAGGTTTGCACAGATTACTGCACCAAATAATTAACACATGAATTACAAGATCCATCCTTTCTGCGGCATGGTCCAATTTGGTATTCCTAATTCAGATCTCTGGTTGTCACAGGAATGGGTGCAAACAGCAGATTTAATTATTAATATTAACAATCAGGTGGCATTTTTAGTGAATCATGAGCTGTGTATAATATATATATATACACACACACACCCATACAACCAATGGGGGCTCTGCTCAGCTCGTTCTGTGAGAGAACGGAGGGCTTCGATCTTTAAAACTCATTTTAAAAAAAGTAATTTCAAAGTAATTTTCTGCATTCAGCACGGCTTTGTAAAGAATGTATGAAAGTGTTGCATCATCCCCACTACCGGCTCTGCAGAGGAGGTGTGTAATGAGCTATTTCAAAGCCGATGGCTGCTTCAGGTGTGCGGAAACGCAGACGGCGAGAACACAGGCGTGTTCGAAAAATTAACATTTTTCAGCCCCGCAGTCATATTTTTGTATCACAGAAACATGAATCGAAAGCCTGTAAACGGGAGTCACTCGTTGGACATCCGGAGTGGTGAGACTGCATCACATAGCAGAAGACGCATGAAAACTGGCAGCGTGGGAAAGAGCAGCTTATGTCTGACATGGCAGTGATTACAGGGCAACAATTAATGAGACACCTGCTTGAGGCTCTGGGGGTCTCAGCCCGGGTGGCAGAGCTGTCACCACCCTCGCAAATATGTACCTCATCTCCGAATCTGACAGTTACAAGGCAATTTTGGTGCTCAGGTCATGCCAATAGAAAATCAGCCACATATTAGCCACGCCCCTCATGTTCTGATTGGAGGGATTCCGGATGGCCTATCCTTACCCTTTGAGATAAACGGCTTTCCAATTCTGACCTACTTTGCAAAGCCTGTGCTCTGTTCTTTCCTTTCCCAAGACCGATCAGCGGGATTTCGACAAATGTACGAGATGGAAAACAATGTTAGGTGATTTTAGATAAAAGTGAAGTGAACAAAGAGGAAATGGATAATACAATCTCAGATAAAAGGTGCTGAAGAGCATCTTTTGATGATGCACAGCCCAGTGAAGGAGTTCATCTAGGAGAGCAGCTGCTGCAATATTAACTACGCTAGAGTTCCCTGCTACTCTTTGGTCCTTGCTCTCATGAAATGAGCAAATTCAAGCCAAGTACAGAAAATTGACCCTGTTATGGGGCGGATCGCGGCGCTGCTTGAAATGGGCACTTAAACATTTGGAAAGCTTTCTGAGGCCCTCCCAGGTGGTCTGTTTATTTATAGATGGCATATTGCCCTGAAGATCACGCACACATCCTGCTCACTTTGCTACCCATTGCCTGTGTGCAGCGCAGTAGAGTGCAAAGTATTGCAAAGCCTTGCAGAGCTTCTGCGCCCAGCGTAACATCCGCTGTTCTCGTACTCAGCCCCGTGCTGAAAAGTAATGCTTTCTCTCCCTCTGAGTTTGTGTCCCATCTCCTTGCTTCTGTCTGTTTATCCATTTGAAATCATCCCTCGTGATGTGGACTACTTCCTCAGCCTTTGCTGATAGACATACTTACTCGCTCCCCTCTTTCTCCTCATCTAACGCCCCCCCCCCCCCCCCCATGTCTCTCGAGCTCTCGGTATGCAGCTGAACTTCATCACCGCCTGTTGGGAATGTTCTTCCCATTGCCGTGGTTCTCCTCCACAGGTATGCAGTGGGTGTGGCCTACAAGTCAGCCCCGAAGAACGAGTGGAGCGGAAAGAACTCCTCGTCGTGGGTATTCTCACGGTGCAACAACAACTTCATGGTGCGCCACAACAGTAAGGAGATGCTGGTGGAGGCCAGCCTGCAGCTGCGGCGTCTGGGCGTGCTGCTGGACTACGACAACAACGCACTGTCCTTCTACGACGCCATGAACTCGCAGCACCTGCACACCTTTGACGTCTCCTTCTTGCTCCCTGTGGTGCCCACGTTCATGATTTGGAACAAGTCCCTGATGATCCTGTCCGGCCTGCCCGTGCCGGACTTTGTGGACTGTCCCGAACAGCAGGAGGGCCTGTGTCGGCCTCAGGAATCACCCTACGTATCTGGCCTGAAGGGCTGTCACTGAGACACCCCCACCTCGCCCACCCCCAACCCCAACCCCCAACCCAATGGCTCCACATCCATTTCATTTCATTGTCCTTTTCCATCTTTACTTCGCTTAAGTTTAAGGAGACCTGTTGCTTTTAAAAGCTCAGATTACAGATAATGATTTTTTTTTCTTGCATAATGTGACTACTAAGTCTTGTAAAATAAGAAATTACTGATCATTTTAAAGACAAAAAATGTATGATATTTATGAATAAGTCTGTTTGATTTGTCTATTTTAATGTATTTATAATGCACTTTTCAGAAATCTTTCATTTCCCCAACGTGTAAAAAGGCAAAAAAAAAAAAAAACAATGGGAATTGGTTGAATTTGTCAAGCATAGCAGTATATAGAGGATTTATCTTGCGTAGAGAAAGGCATATCATGTTACTGCTACTTTTTTAAACTGAGTAAAAAAAAAAAGTGGACAAGAAAAGTTTAACTTGGAGTCTAGACATCAATGCATGTTTTTGTTTGTTTTTTTTTTTTTTATTCCTCCCCTTAGTTCCTTATTTTAATGAAAAATTTGATTGTACCATAAACACAAGCATGATCTGGTACAACTGCTGCCAATCTACTGCAGTATGTTTCCTAGTCAACTTCATTATGCTGATTTAATTTACTCAAAGACCAGTGCTCCCATTTGGTTTAGATATTGCCGTACACCAGTCACTTTTTCCCAGTGGAGTGTGAGCTGCCACTCAGTGGACATCCCCAGTACGGCATAATCACTGTTTGTCCTTCACTGAAACCTGCTAATTAGCTGGGCAGCCCTTCAAAACAGGCTCTCAGTTGCCGCATCAATCCTCATCCTTCCCCACTCGATCTGAAACGGTCTGTCTTCCATACGAGCCATTCTGCAATCCCTCTCTCCCTTCTTTTCTGCAAATAAGAGACCTCCACAGCAATATTATGTCTTCAGTCCATGTCGGGATCATCTCCATCAAGCCATCTCTCTTTCCATTTATGTATCCGTGATATTTTAGTCTCAGCTTTTTGTGAGACGCTTTTATGAGACGCGTTTACTACACAATAATCAGACAATCAAATTCAGTATGAGAGTAGACACAAGGTGTATGTATAGTTAAAAAAAAAAAAAACGCAATTGCAGCTGTTTGGTTGCACGTCATTCCTCGATATATTTTACCAGGGCTGGAAAATATCATTGCCAGTGAGTCTGGGAGGTCAGGCTCACGTCGGTGATATTTTCTCGTATCGGCAGGTTTAACCTTTTTTCATGCAGGATGTACACGTCATGTTTTGCCGGTGTGTGCCCCGCACCCTTAACTTTAGTGAATACGCATGGAAGGGCTATTGGCCGCACACTGCCCTCCTGTACCGCACACCGACACCCCCTTTGGAGAGCAGGGCGGGCTGGAGGTGCAGCGGATTACCGAGTCAGAATCGGGGAAGGGCGTCGGAGTACGATGCGCTCGTGTAGCTAGCTAGCACATAGCGTGCCAGGCAGCATCGCTGTCATGTATACATGCAGCAGACAAGAGGACCATAAAACAATGGCCAAGGAGAACAGGATCCTTTACACATTATGTTTATGGTTTCTGGTGTTTCAGAAGATGATGCATATGTAGAAAAAACGAAAAAGGGAAAAAAAAAAAAAAAAAAAAACTTGCATAACTGCTAATTTCTGAACTGATTTGTCCCAGTACACTCTACTGGCTTACTGCATGACAGTTTGATTCAAAACCAAGTGCATATTGTACATTTCATAACGTTTTATACTAACATTCAAAATTATTAAAACTTTTGAGTTCGTACATATCAGATTTCTACAGTTTGTCGTGCTTTATTTTGAGTTACAGGCTAAGGAGCTTTCAGATGCCATTTAAAACTATAGTAAACTGTTAGTCATGGAAGTAATAGTAATTATGCATTTGTTTGTGTTTCCTGATCCTCCCGAAAAAAAGGCTGTTGAAACCAATGCTCTCCTCTCCTGTTGCGTTTCAATCTCTATTATGACATATTCAAATTAGCTGTGTGTAAATGACTCTCTGCTTTCATAGTTGTGTGAATTTTAGCCATAAAAAAAGAATGTAAATCAAAGGGGGAAATATATAAAATGGTATAATATATGAACTAATGTTATTTATGTGAACTTGAGTCAAATTAAAACTCTGATCCCAAATCAATTGAATTAGCATTTGCGTCATTATGCTTATCCTCAGGTTCCAGGAATTCAGCAAATTCAGAGGCGCTGGTGGTCACAAAAACCCCAGTCTGGCAGTGCGTCATGCTGCCGTGGGTCGACCCCCCCCCTCACATGGAGAAAGTGGGTCCAGCCGGCTGGCAGGCCACCCAGCGCCCTCAGTCAACACATCTGTCGTTGTCGTCGCGTGCCAGAGTCGCAGCCCTGTAGAGATGCGCCATCACAGGCGCTCGTCGGCGCCAAGGAGCTGAATCACACGGTCTGGGCACGTCAGGGGAGCGTGACTTTCGTGGTGCTTGTAGCATGTGTCTCATCTGCAATTTATGCACATATATGAATGCCGGAGTTTGTCTACCGAGACAGCATCCTTTAATATACATTAATTGGTGAATATTTAAAACTGAAACATTCATTCATTATACAGTGGTACCTCAGTTTTCGAACTCATTAGAACTCGAATTTCTTAAAAGTCGAACCAACCAGTTTGAAAAAAATATGACGTAGAACTCTATCTGAATCTCAGAGGTCAAACCGTTAACGCTGACCTAAGATAACTTGTACGCGCGGGGAAATGAGTCACGCGGCACGTCTCTCAGCGGAAACAAAGGGTAACGCTTCAGTCTCAGCCTCGCATTCGCTGTGATAGCATTGTTTGTTGGTGATAGTGCTTTTTTATTGAAAATACTGTATCAGGTAATACACTGTACTTTATATAATTTTGGTAGTCATTGCTCACCAAAAAGTTACGCAATAGTGGTACAAATGTTACAATCTAAAAGTTTGCGATTTACGAATAAATTAACGAATACAGAGTAATAATAAAAATAAACAATGGACCGCATGGCATAGTCTAGTGATGACGCAATGTTGGGGCATGGCTTGGGGTTTTCACGAACTGCCGAGCCGGGACCAGGAAAGCAGGGACAGGACTCAAGCGATCGGGAAACACGGGCAGAACAACACAATGATGTTACAATGACTGGACTGGGGAAACAAACTAAAACTCGTACTAAATACAGAAGACTATTGACAACAACAACTGATCACACGGGGATTCCACACAAGGTTAAGTAGGGGACGTGGCACACGAAAGGAGCGGACGATCGGGGCATTAAGAAAAAAATGCTCTTCTTGTTTTATCCTGTTCATTTTGTGTTTAAATGCTTAAAAGAAAAAAAAAACATATTTAGGTGTACGGTAATTTTTTTTGTGGCCGGGAACAAATGAATTGGTTTTCGATTATTTCTTATGAGGAAAATTCGATCAGAACTCGAGCTTTTTAGGATTCGAACCCGAGTTCTAAACGGATTAAGTTCGAGTTCTGAGGTACCACTGTAATTTCAAAACATTCCAGGAATGGAATCCCCATATGACATGATAAAGAATGCCCAGGATTCTCTCAGGTATTTCTGAAGACTTAAAATGGAAAACCTCGAATGCAGTCCTACTTGCAACAATGTCAAGCAGTACTCTTATCCTCAAATACAAGTATCCACTTCAAGTCTTAAAACCAGATAAGCACCAAAGATCGCAATACTGTGAAGGAGAACAGCCTTGATTTGATAAAAGAAACATGAGTTTTCGAACGTTTCATGAAATTCCTATCTGCTAGTCCTTGATCACATTTGCTGAATATAATGACATTAGTCAGTAGAGCTTTTTAAATATCTACACTCCGAATTTCATCAGTCTTCATTCTTCGGACCTAAACATTTTTTTTTTCCGTAGAAATTTGCTGGAGACATTCCAGTCACAGCTGGGGAAATAATTATGTTCTCCAATAATGGGTGTTATCGTTCTATGCAAATGCGGGGAAATTGTCACAAGCCGAATATAAGGCCAGTGTCATGTCTGCCAAGTCGATTTTTTTCTAGTTTTGAATAGCTGATGAAAATGAGTATATATTTTGAAGTAAGTCTTTCTCATTGTTTAGCTAACTACTGCTATGTTCTTTTATTAAGTAACAAAATGTCTGAAGTTCAGTAGAGCAGCATGGTGACCTCTGACACCTCTTGGGTCGGGGGTCCTGTGAATGTGGAGTCTGCCTGTTCACCACACATTCACCTCAGGTTTCCTCCCGCAGTGCAAAAACATGCAGGTAAGGGAATTGGTGACTTCGAATTGCCCATTGTGCATCTGTGTTTGAAGTTGCCCTGCCCTGGGCTGACAATCCCGTCCACGATTCCTGAGGGCAATTTTCTGGTTCGCCATAATCCTGTACTGGATAGGAGGTTAGAGGTAATAGCTTAATGAATGAAGTGCAGTAAATTTTAGTGGAGGAGGTAAATGTGTGTTTTTAAGGTTTCCTGTTATACACTTCTCTACAACAGCTACGTAATAGGAAAGTTTTTTAGCTTACAGATAATCTCACTCCCTCATTATTTATGGGTGAGCTAAAATTAATCACCGCTGAACAACTATTAGCTAGGTTCTTTTATTTATTTATTATTTTGTGAGGGGGTTTACTTTTGTTTTTGGCCAAGTTAGAATAATTTAAATAGCTTAGAATTAAAAACCAATTTTACAAGCCGTGCAAAGGCGAAATCCTTGTTACTTTGTAGACTGAAAGAAAGCTGTGTTTTTGTTTTTTTACACTAAATAATATAATTAATGTGTGGGAATGCAGTGAATTCCTGAATTGCACGTGAAATGTTTAAGTAATACTTGGAAAAAGTGAGAATTCATTAATAAGTTCAGCTAAAATTCTTAGTGACTTTAATAGGAAACCCCCCTTTCATATCATTAACGATTGGCGTGGGCATTATCTGTAATTAAACTGCTGATATTTGCCAGGTATGATAATGGTGGCAGTCACTTTGAGAAGAAGAGCATTACGGTTATAAGAAGGGCAGTAAAAAGAGGCCTTAAGTGACATAGCAGGTGTTAGGCATCAAGGTAAGAATGTTTGTTGTGGTTTTTTTTTTTTTACTTTAATCTTTAATCACCCAGAAAACAACAGTAAGCGTGATTTATGTTTCATAGCCAATCAGCCATCTTGCTCACAAATGTCATTATCACCTACCTTACTGCATTAAATCAGAATAAAAGCTTTGCTCTCTTAAAGTCTATCAATCCCCGTCGCGTAATGTTTGTAGAAACCAGCTCTATATACTTCATAAAACAATGTGTTCAATGAATGGTCCATTTTAGCCAGTTTTCAGATGTGTTTTATTGCTGTAGACGCACTTGTGTGCCAGGTATATCTGCAACATTAGTGGGTGGCTGTTCAAACAAAATGCCACTTCGATTTAATCCCTGCTGTGTCACAGTCCTTTAATAAACACAATGAGTCTTTATTATTTCTTGGCTCATTCACAATGGCTCCAAGTATCTCCCTCCACCTGAGTATAATACAGCAGATACCTGTTCCCAAGGAAGTCTAACTCGGGGAATGGGCCATTTAGGTGATACTGTTTTTGTATCTTTAGATACTCTGTTTCAGAGGAGCAGGACAAAGTAAAGTGATATTCTTTGTTTTTTGTACTATTTGAATATACTTCAACAATATTTGGTAGCCATAGCAGTAGCAGTAAAGAATAAGAAATTTCTGTTAAGAGCAAATATTTAACACAGACGATATGGTTTGTGCCAATAATGCTATATCGCAAGGCTTAGGGTGCCTATAAATCTTTATACCTACGTATATATCAGTCCATAACTAAGAGAGAATGTTATATTATGATAGTCATTACAGCTACCATTGCTTAAATCTGCATTTCCATCTAGGTTTGTCCAAATTTGAGGTTTTCTCTGCTTATGATAATGAGAAGGCCTTACATGGCTGACATTGCCCACATGCTAAATATGACGTTCATTGCAGCCCTGTTATATCAATCAGCAAGAAGTCAGTGCACCCCATAATTACATTTCTAATTACAGCCGTTAATTAGAGGTTCTACAGCCACTCATTATACCATTTGTCACTCTAGCATCTAATATGATGTACAACAACAAATTAATTAGATTTGGAGAACGCTTCATGTATTGGTATGTTGGTCGGGTGCGATGGACAGCTGAGAATACGTATGGCACATCACAAAGATTTCATTAGTATGACTGTAAACAACCAGGCTCCGCCCTGCTTTTGCATGTTGCATGCTCACGGGTAATATGACTGCAAGAATTGTTATAAATGTGTATAATGATACTGCTTGATGTTTTTGTGTAAATTGAACAGGAATTTCACAAACCCAAGTACCATATTAGATATTTCAAGTGAGATTACTATGGGGGAATAAAAGCTATGGTTTGCTTGTCACATTATATGATCATATACATCAGTGTTTCCCAAACCCGTCCTCAGGGTCCCCCGCATAGTCTGTGGTTTTGCTCCCAGCAAAACGTTTTTAACTAACAGCAAAAATGTGTATTGCGGGGAGGGAGCAAAAACGTGGACTGTCTGAGGGTCCCCAAGAAGCAGGTTGGGAAACACTGATATGCACAACAACAAAAACAGCCCTTCGGAGTAACACTGTTTTGATTTTACAACCATTGTGAACTGGCCTCAACAGGAGAACAACAAATTCGGGACTGGTTGCCATAAGTAATCAATAACGTTGGTAATAAGTAGTAAACATAGTTGAAGACACATTTTTGCAACTTGCTGCATTAATTGCACATAATGACATCTAGCAATGTTAATATTGGTGTGTTAAGCATAGTTCATACTGCAATTTTCCAGTTTTCCACAGACCAGTTAAGTATAAAGAGTCACAGTCACAGAGTACTCAACTGGTTGGTTGAAACAAAATCTTGGTCTGGATTTGTGCTCTCTAGACCTGAATCTCCACCTCTGCTCCGGTGTACATATTATATTTGTCGTAAACGCAGAAGATCGCGGCCGGTGCATCTCACCAGACCAGCCGAGGGCAGATGTATTGCAACAAACACAAAGACAAGCAGTAGAGTGGAATCAGTAAACCTTTCTTTATGAACAGTTTTAAAGTTGTTTCTAGGCTTGGGTCATGTCACAGTAATGCAGTT